GGGCTGGCCGAGGGGCAGGATCCCCCCCCTGCCCTGTGCCCACGCTGCTGAGGGGGCAGCCCAGGCTGGGGGGGGCTCCTGGGCAGCTCCTCACCCCCAGCACCCCCAGGGCCTTCTCCCCAGAGCTGCTCTCCTGCCCCTCACCCCCAGTCTGGGCTGGCACTGGGGCTGCCCCCAAGGTGCAGGACCTTGCACCAAACCTCTCTGGCTATCTGATTTTGCCTCAAATGTTTTTTGTCAAGCAAAGGAAAAGAAAAAAGAAGGGAAAAAAATCAAAAAAGGAAGCAGTTATTAAAATGTTAGGACAATTTTCTGCTTGGTGATACAATTATTATATAATTATACGATATTTTAATGTGAAATAATGATCTAATTATTTTCAGGATGTTTGGACATTTCCATCTATCTCCAGCATTTTCATGGTCTGGTAACACCAGCTCCTCCAAGTAGTCCAGATCCCTTTTATCACAATTTTTTTTGTCTAGGAGAACTGATACTCTTCCCTTCTCAAGCCTGACGGGTGCCTGAACCCCAAGGGATAATTCCAGGGGTCACTTTGGAGCGACAGATTGGGAATTGCTGCTGAAAAATAGGATCTGGGGACAATTGCTCCCCACAGCACCACGGGTTTGCTGCTGCCTCCCTGCCTGACCCCAGCCTTGCAACACCAGCGTGGTTCAGTGACTCATGCTGGAGATGTAAAACGTCTCTGGCTGGTGGCAACCAAGAGCTGGCTTTGCCTTCTGAAGGTCTCAGCCTCAGATGTTTCATTGAGCGAGTATTTCAACAGAAATGGCCCAAATTCCATGGAAATCCCTTGGTTTCCACTGTTTTTCAGCATGCTTGAGCTGGAAGCATCACGTTGAGCGTCACCAGCAGACTCAGGAACATTGACTTAGAATCATAAAATTGTTTTGGTTGAAAAACACCTTTACAATCATGGAGTCCAACCATTCCCCAGCACTGACAGGTCCCCACTGACCCACGTCCCCTCCCCAGCTTCGTTGCCCTTCGCTGGACCCGCTCCAGCCCCTCAAGGTCCTTCTTATTCTGGGGCACCCAAAACTGACCCAGCCCTCAAGCTGTGGCCTCCCCAGTGCCCAGTCCAGGGCCACAGTCACTTCCCTGCTCCTGCTGGTCACACCATTTCTGATCCAGGCCAGGATGCTGGTGGCCTTCTTGGCCACCTGGGCACACACT